TTTCAGAAATGTCTGTTGTTTTCAGTTGCAAGTAAGAAATCATGGCCGTATGATTTCTCATTGTAAAGCTCATTAATTAAGCTGAGTTAATTGTAATCAATCTGCCAATTATTGTAAATGTGCGATGTGTTTTAAATCATTTAAAATAAACGACTCACTGTTGGTGGTGAGTCAGAAATTAAAACACGTTTCCTTCCACATTTAATCATTCAAGGCACTATAGAACTCAGTCCAGAAAAATGAAAGAATCCGTTTAAATTATGGATAATATCAGACAGGTATCATTCATTACACCATCATAAACCAAATTGACTTTTATTTATTTAACAATAAATTCCCATTAGGATCAGAGAGCTCTTCCAAAGTGAGACTTGAACAAAGTTTCAGCATAAAAAGGTACAAAAAAGCATGCACGTAAAACAAATTGTTGACAAAGTGACAGCTATTGAAGTCCTACTGCTTTTATTGTCTTTTTTTGTTGAATGTTTGGTTTTTGAACATGCAAAAAAATAAAAATAAAATAAAAAAATAGAACAAAGAACAGACACCCCCCCACCCCTTTCCTCCCACACCATATCAGTCACACACATAAATACATTGAACAGGCACTGACAAGTTTTCCACATACAACATAAAAGGCTGCCACGTGTCCCACAATCTTTTAACAGAACCATTCAGGGTATATCTTATTTTTTCTAGATGGATGTGATACATCACCTACCTTAACCATTGCACATATGCTGGGGTGTGTGGGTCCTTCTAATTGTACAGAATCAGTCTTATGGCCAGGAGAGCCAAAAGCAATCACATCCTTCTTGTACTTGCTGAAGGATGTATCCACAGGGACCACCTCGAACAGTGAGGTGAATGGTGATGGGCAATGGTCCCTCTAATTTTTCATGTGTGTGGGCAAACACACCAGCTCCCTGAGTGCACTGAGGAGCACTGTGAGCAACATCAGATGTGCACGCTATGGTCACACACCAGTATCACATCTGTTCAAAATCTGGGATTATAGCAAGTTACATGGCTTATTAAAAAAATCAAATTACAGCAGCAACTTCCATTAGTTTACTTTTAATATAAGTGATTTGGACCACTTCAAATGAAAAAGACAATAATCTTGTTGTTCATGAGATGTGTAGCATGTTAAATGTGAGAGGCCTACTTTGGTCTGGGTGAGGGTCCTGCTCTGGAGTAGGTGAGCAACACAGTGGCCATTGGTGTCAAAAGCATATTTGTAATGTTGGAGGGGGGGAGATGACACTGGTGTGTGGGAGGGGTCTGGGGGTTCTCCCTCTGAAAATTTTGAATAAAATAGATGTCATTTCCTGTATTCTGGTGTATTTTAACGTTTGTTAAACTTCTAGTTTTACCTACACAAGTAACACTTGATTCAATAACTATTTTGGAGTTAATAACACAGAAGTAGCCTGACCAACAGCTCTCCTTGTGTGAATAGAGCACGCTTCACTTCTCTCATGCATCCTAGTCACAGTCTAAGAACCTTATACAAGCGGGGTGCCCCATCTTCCGAACACCCCCCCCCACCCACCCACCCACACACACACACACACACACACACACCTGTCGGCACTGACGTAATGCTAAAGAAGGTGCACAAGCCAAAAAGCTAAAGGCAGCCTCTTCCCTCACACTGACCCCCCCGCCCCTAAAACTGTCAGTACAAGCGTCGCGGCTGAGTGTCTCTCTCCTCAGTCCGTGTACATTCAGGCAGTTCATTTTTTCATTTGAAACAAAAAATGAAAAAACAAAAACACACTTGTTTCTTTCATTTTTCCTTTATTAAACCAAAATGAAAAATCGGATAACAAAGCGTAATCCGATTTCCATTTTGTGCACAAAACGAAAATGGAAAAAACGGATAACGAGCGTTCCGTTTCAATTTTCATGTTTTCATTTTTGACAAGTGGTCTGACCCGGAAGTTCTGTCTGCCCCGCACCGTGTGGCTTGCTGCTTGTGTACACACGTTTGGACACGCCCATTGACTTCTGAAGAATGGAATGCGGAAGTCACGTGGGTCATGCAGCGGCTCTGGTTCAAAATAGTTCCAAACAGCGGTGGGTCCAGCATTGAACAAAGTTCATTCTTAATTTCGGAAGTGTTTTCTCCGGTAAGTTGATGAAAATACAACATTTTTTTGCCATTGTGAAGAGTTAGCTGACTGTTCTGTACCACAATTTATCAACATTAATACTTCATGTTGCCAGTTTTATTAAACGTTAACTTGCTAGTTGTGTTTAGCCGTTTTTCTGCAAGAATGATGTGGTTAATTCAGTTCAAGTTATAGATCATTTGTCAGACTGAAGCATAAATGGGGACATTATCATTAAAGATAAACGTGACCGTGGAGATGAGCCTTTTTTTAAATGTTTTCCAGGTAAACAACGAGAGAATGACTTCAGTGAACTGTTGAAGCATGTTGCATTCAAAACTCACAAAGAAGATCTCATTTTATCCTGATGCATGCTCAATAATCCAGGTAGAAAAATCTAAAAAAGTTAAATCTGGTCCTCTGGACATTCAAAAAAACAATAAAGCAAAACAACAAAAAACAAATGTAGAAACGTCTCGGATGAGAGACGAAACGTTTCTACATTTTGTTGTTGTTTTGCTTTGTTTAGTTTTTTTGAATGTCCAGAGGACCAGATTTAACTTTTTTAGAAGATCTCATTTTCAGTCTTCTCTTAAACAATAATAGCTGAATAAAAATTAATAACAAAATTACTTTAACACCATAACCTTCACAACGGTGGTATATACACACATTTTTTTTGTTTTGCTACCTTTTCCTTTTAGCCATCCTATTTGTTTTAAAAACAAACAAAAAAAAAAAAACTGTAGTATGCTTTTTTATAACTGTTTATTGTTGTTGCTGTTGTCCATTGTTGTCATCTTTCTTTGTTGAAATCAGGTCTCTCTTGTAAATGAGTCCTCGAGGCTCAATGGGATTTACCTGTATAAATAAAGGTTGATTGATTACAGCAGGACTGTTAATTTACATTTGTTTTATATTATTAGTTTAGCATATGGTAATCATGGGTCAAGTAGTTAAGATGAGAATCTCTTCAAGACAGAACAAGAAATAAGAATTATTTTTTCATTCAACCTTTATTTAGACAGGTAAATCCCATTGAACCTCGAGGACTCATTTACAAGAGAGACCTGGTTTCAACAAAGAATGATGACAACAATGGACAACAGCAACAACAATAAACAGTTATAAAAAGTCATACTCCATTTTTTTTTTTTTTAAACAAATAGGATGGCTAAAAAAAGGTAACAAAAACAGCTAGATTCTAAGGCGAATGTAGAAAACTAAAAATAGGAACATGTCTGCATTGGTCCCTGCCAGGAGTCCAACTGATTCTTAAAGCCACTTAGAGAGGTCAAAGGTCGAGAGCTTCAAATCTTTTTACAAGATCCATCCATCATCTTTACCCACTTCTTCCATTTTGGGTCACGGGGGTCGCCGGTGCCCATATCCAGCAATCACTGTGCGAGGGGCGGGGGACACCCTGGACGGGTCGCAAGTCCATCACAGGGCCTTTTTACAAGATATTCCAGGAAACAAGAGCGGAGTAGGAGAAGGTCCTTTTGCCTAGTTCAGTCCTCATTGAGGGAACACTGCAGGTAATAATGTCCTGAGAGCGCACTCCGTAGCTGCACTCACACAGAGACATGTAGGAGGAGATGTATGAAGGCAGCAGACCAAGAAGTGATTTAAAGATGAAAATGTACCAGTGGGAGAGTGCGTGAAGTTAATGATGACCAATTAACCAGTGAATACTGGGTGCAGTGGTGGGTACGGTAGTTACAGCCAGTTGTGAATCTTAGTGCACCATGATAGACAGCATCCAACATCTGCAGCATCCAACATCTGCAGGGTTCTTGTAGGAGCGTTCATGTAAATAATGTCACCGTAATCAATGGAGGGAAGGAAAGTCACAGATACAAGGTGTTTTCTAGCATTCAGGGTTAGACAGGATCTGTTTCTGAAAAAGAAACCCAGTTTAACTTTCAGTTTCTTTAACAAGTTTTCCACATGAAGCTCAACCAATCAGTGTCTGAGTCAGATTTTCTCGCTGTGGCCCAAAGAATTACCAAGAATATATCTGTATCAATAAACTGTAGAGGAGTAACAAAAAATCTTATTAAACTATCATCACTACCTAACTATGTTACATTCATGTCCATCTTCATGTTTTCAGATTGACTGAGTGTTGAGCTAAGAAATGACCGTGTTAGTGGAACTGGTCAGTCCTGTCAGTGATGATGGAGCTGGTAAGTTA